ATAATTAGGTTTTTTGATTTAATGTGTAGTAATTGCATTGCACTTCTCAATTTAAATAAAAAAAATTCAAATTTAAAATCTCCAAGAATGGATATATAGACAAGAACAATAGATAGTTAGTGCACATTTGAGATACTTTGGCATGATTTTGAAAGAAAAATTTTGTTAGAGGATATTTCTAAGGTACCATCACAAACTTTGAAGGATCTAAATAGGATGATTTTCTCTTTTTCCATGCCATATCTAATTGAACACTATTGAGAGCCTATAAATAGTTCTAAAGTACTCTCCTCAACAGCTGATTGAAACTTGAACCTTTGAAAATTCATCGGTTCCATTTGTTTAGAATTTTGATTCTGTTTCTTAATTCAAGTATGTTTTCACGTTTTTTGTTATTACGACATTAAACAAATTAAACATATTGTTTTAAAGATATTTTAAGATTTGCTCCATGTTTTCCCCTTGATACTGTTTTTTCTCTGGTAGGAGAATATAATCTTTGAAAGATGGCCCAATTGAGTAGGTGGCTGTCTACCAGCAAGAGATAGGAAGTTGCCCATAATCTATTATGGTTAGGGAAATTCTGTATTTGATATTATTATAATCACCACAAAACTTATAAAAAGTGAATTTATTTATTTTTTTTACTAACTGGGGGCCATTATGCAATCATGCTAGCATTTGATTTCGATTAAAATTTGATTATCTAAAATTAAATAAAGCCGATCTCCACGCCCACCACAAATGAAACATAAACACCATACTGCATCTTTAATTTTTCTTTTTCTTTTTCTTTTTTTTTTTCCCCTCATAAAGTGTTAAAGCATTTTGATATTGCATTGGAGATACCAGAGAGTTGGGGTATCATCATCACTACCCTGATTTATTGTTGATTTTATAGTTTTATTTTTCAATGTTAGAGTCCCAGCAATTCCAATAGGCAGCCTAGTTAGCAAGCCTGTTGATCAAAATTCAATTCTGAGGAAATGTCACAAGATGGTATAATTTCTTGAAAAGTTCTTTCTCACCATATATCTATGGCCTTAATTGACTAGGGGAAGTGAACTTAATCTGGTATGGACAAACTGAGTCTTAAGATACTTCAGGGTTTGCATGAGAAATCATCAGTGCCTAGTAAAACAAAACATCAGCATGATCATTGTGTCTATTTTTTCACTTTGAAGCTTTCTTTCTGAACCACCATGCATGAAAGTTGGAGAAAGCTTAAAAGGAGCAAGAGATGTGATTATTAAACTGTCTAAATTTGCAATGAAAACGAGGCTGTCTTTTTCCTACAACCCATGGATACTCCATGGTCTGCACGGACAAGTATGCTGATATGGTGTCTCAGTGTTGTGAGCCTATCACAATTATGTCAAATAATGTCTTTTACACTTTACCCCTGGTTAATAATAATTATTGAAGGCCTGAACCTTTTTCTTGAATTTGTTTCTGGATTTGATGCCTTAATTTCAGGCCTGCTGAGAAAAGTCGCCATGATGGCATGCCCGCCATGCATCTCCCCCTTTTACAACTGCCACAATACATCATCATAAGATTTATGGATGTGTTTGGTTTGGCTATGCCCCTATTAGATATTAGGAAAAGTTAAAACCAAACAGAGTCCATTTTTCTTTCTTAGCTATGCTTTACTCAACATTTTCTCCCTTTTTTTTTTTTTTACCTGATTTTTCTTAATAATTATTGGATAAAAATCAAAACGTTGAGTTGGAGTGACCCATGTCTTGAAAATGGATTGTCCTTTTGCTGGTTTTCTTTTCCTCTTCTATGATTCTTTTCAGAGGACATGTTTGCCAGTTGGAATAACAGGGCAACCACAAGCAATCTGCAACTGTAATCCAATTCGAAAAGCCTTCTCAACTTTCCATCCATCAATCACCTCTCTAACTCCTTCATCT